AGTTTTCACTTTTCACTATGCTTCAGAAGATACAGGGCATTTGCATGCTATAGTACAAGAGCTATGGAGAGGCAGCGTTGGTGTTGGTGTCTACCCAAAAAGCATCACTATAAATTGGTGAAAATTTGTTATCACCACTTCTTTAGCTAATTAATTAAGGCCAGAGGAGTAAAGAAAAATCCAGAAACATTGATTTTACTAAGATGTTATACTTAAGCTTCAGAGAACTGAATTTCTTTAAGGGAAGTGTATCCTCTGTGTACAAATCTCAAGTGAACAGCTATGCTTTATTACTGTAATTGTCGTCAACGTAAGACCACTCATACATGTTATAAAGACCAACCTCTTGTTCTTTGTTCACCCCATACTTTAGTAGCTTTTGTATCTGAAAAACTAGGCATTATCCCATTATAAATGGTAGGTGTTAATTTTACAAGTTGAGAAATATTAAAAAGGCATGTAGTAGGGAAAATGTAAATTTTTTTTATTGAAGTATAGTTGATTTACAATGATTCAGGTGTACAGCAAAGTGATTCAGTTATATACATATATGTATATAAGAATCTTTTTCATATTCTTTTCTATTATGTGTTATTACAAAATATTGAATATAGTTCCCTGTGCTATATAGTAGGTCCTTGTTGTTTATTTTATATATAGTAGTATGTATATGTTAATCCCAAACTGCTAATTTATCCCTTTCCACCGCATCTTTCCCCTTTTGTAACCGTAAGTTTGTTTTTGAAGTCTGAGTCTGTTTTGTTAATAAGTTCATTTGTATAACTTTTCTAGATTCCACATGTAAGTGTTATATTTATATGACATTTGTCTTTCTCTGTCTTACTTCACTTAGTATGATAATCTCTGGGTCCATCCACGTTGCTGCAAATGGCATTATTTCATTCTTTTTTATGGCTGAGTAATATTCCTTTGTATATATACCACATCTTTATCCATTCCCCTGTGGATGGACACTTAGGTTGCTTCCATGTCTTGGCTATTGTAAACAGTGCTGCAGTGAACACTGGGGTATCTTTTCAAATTTTGGTGTTTTTTAAAAATTAATTTTTGGCTGCACTGGGTCTTCACTGCTGCACGTGGGCTTTCTCTAGTTGCGGTGAGCGGGCTTCTCATTGCTGTGGCTTCTCTTGTTGCGGAGCACGGGCTCTAGGCGTGCGGGCTTCAGTAGTTGTGGCTCATGGGCTGTAGAGCGCAGGCTCAGTAGTTGTGGCGCACGGGCTTAGTTGCTCTGCGGCATGTGGGATCCCAGGGCTTGAACCTGTATCCCCTGCATTGGCAGGCGATTCTTAACCACTGTGCCACCAGGGAAGCCCTATGGTTTTCTTCAGATACATGCCCAGGAGTGAAATTGCTGGATAACTTGGTAGTTCTATTTTTAGTTTTTGAAGGAACCTCCGTACTGTTCTCCATAGTGGCTGTACCAATTTACATTCCCACCAACCATGTAAGAAGGTTCTCTCCAGCATTTGTTGTTTGTAGACTATTTGATGATGCATTCTGACCCGTGTGAGGGGACACCTCATTGTAGTTTTAATTTGCATTTCTGTAATTAGCAATGTTGAGTATCTTTGCATGTGCTTTTTGACCATATCTGTATGTCTTCTTTGGAGAAATGTCTATTTAGATCTTCTGCCCATTTTTTGATTGGGTTGTTTTTTTGATATTGAGCTGCATGAGCTGTTTGTATATTTTGGAAATTAATACCATGTTGGTTGCTTTGTTTGCAAATATTTTCTCCCATTCTGTGGGCTGTCTTTTCGTTTTGTTCATGATTTCCTTTGTTGTGCAAAACCTTTTCAGTTTAATTACATCCCATTTGTTTATTTTTTAAATTTTCATTACTCTAGGAGGTGGATTCAAAAAGATGTCACTGCAATTTATGTCGAAGAGTGTTCTGCCTACGTTTTCCTCTATAAATACTACACTAATAAAGAGTTTTATAGTATCCGGTATAGAACCGGGTATATCTTTCCATCTGTGTCCTCTTCAGTTTCTTTTATCAGTGTCTTAGTTTTCAGAGTACAGGTCTTTTGTCTCCTTAGGTAAGTTTATTCCTAGGTATTTTATTCTTCTTGATGTGATGATAAATGGGATTTTTTCCTTAATTTCTCTTTATATTTCATAGTGTATAGAAATGCAACAGATTTCTGTATATTAATTTTGTATCCTGCAACTTTACCAAATTCATTGATGAGCTCTAGTAGTTTCCTGGTAGCATCTTTAGGATTTTCTATGTATAGTATGTCATTTGCAAACAGTGACAGTTTTACTTCTGTTCCAGTTTGGATTCCTTTTCTTTTTTCTTCTCTGATTGCTGTAACTAGGACTTCTGAATATAAGTGGCAAGAGTGGGCATCCTTGTCTTGTTCTTGATCTTAGAGGGAATGCTTTCAGCTTTTCACCATTGAGTATGGCGTTAGATTTGGGTTTGTCATATATGGCCTCTATTATGTTGAGGCAAGTTCCCTCTATGTCCACTTTCTGGAGAGTTTTTATCATAAATGGATGTTGAATTTTTTCAAAAGCTCTTTTGCATCTACTGAGATGATATTATTTTTATTCTTCAGTTTGTTAGTGAGGTATATCACATTAATTTGTAGATATTGAAAAATCCTTATATCCCTGAAATGAGCCCCACTTGATCATGGTGTGTGATTCTTTGAATAATGTATTGTTGGATTTGGTTTGCTAGATTTTATTGAGGATTTTTGCGTCTGTGTTCATCAGTGGTACTGACGTGTACTTTTTTGAGATATCTTTGGTTTTGCTATCAGGGTGATGGTGGCCTCACAGAATGAGTTCGGAAGTATTCCTTCCTCTGCAAATAGTTTCAAAAGGATAGGTATTAACTAATCTCTAAATGTTTGGTAAAATTCACCTGTGAAGCCATCTGGTCCTGGACTTTTGGTTGTTGGGGGAATTTTAAATTACTGATTCAATTTCGGTAACTAGTAATTGATCTGTTCGTATTTCCTGTTTCTTGCTTGATTCAGTTTTAGTAAACTTTGTAGTTGGTTCTGATTTTTGCTGCAGACTTTGCTACTGTTATGATAACCAACTCAGATTAATAGAAATATTTAAATTATAGGAAAAATTTGTATATTATATAAAATTATGATATACAAATATAATGTATACATACATCTTATTTTTCACTTCCAAATTCAACTTCAAAGTTTTGATACTGATCTAAAAGTTAGGCTCAGGAGAATAAAGATTTGTTTATATTCAGGATATTAGAGATCTGGAAATAGAATGTTTTTAATTTTTTTTGACAGTACCCAACTGGTCTAAAGCTTATTTGGAGTTGGGGATTTTGGTTAGTAGAAGAAATTAACAATGACATTGGTTGAATTTGAACATTATAACTTTGATGAGAACTGAGACTTAGTGACTGCCTTGTTTGGAATACATCTTACTAACATCTTGTTCTATGCAAGCCTTCAGGCGTTCTGATTGTAGCAGCTGTGCGTTATGCTTTCAGAGTGTAGATACTGGGGTATATGTCTTATTACCTCTTCTAAACTAAGAATCTAGCACCAAATGTTAGTTCTTCCCCTTGCCCACCCTCCCTGAGAGGAGGTGCCCCATGGTAGCTTGAACACATTAGGCTCTCAAATACTTGTTAAACTGAATTGCCTAGTAACATGGTAAGTGATATTCTAGAAAAAACTCCATTATTATTGGGTGGTAGTCTAGTCTGACAGCTTTTCTGCTTAATTTCCCTTCCAAGAAAATCACCTTGAAAACATAAGCAACAAACTATCATAAGTATGATACAGCTGTCGGGTGATTTTAGTCACTCACCCTTAGAATACAAATTGCACCGTGATATTTGGCTTTGTTAATTATTTCAAAATCATGAGTTGAGCTTTGTTTTCTATTTTACATTGGGTTTGTATTTAATTTTGCCTTTAATCATTAAGGACAGTTTGGATTGGCAACTTTTAAGACACTTTACTGATCTTCCCAGTAAGTAATAAAAGTAAATCTTCCATATGGTTTCCTGTGTTTAAAATAGCATGAGATCAAGCCGACCCCACAGAGCTCTAGCTGACTTGCCCAAACCAGGTCATACCCTGTGTTTTAAATAATTCAGATGCCACAGTTCTTTGAGCCAATTTATCTCCCGGGATGATTAGCTCAAGCTTTGCAGAGCAGTTCCCTTGCAACCTTACTTATCAATTGTGCTAAGGCAATGAATTAAAACCCATTTTATCCAAAAAATGAGAGGAAAAGTGATTCAGAGAAACCTCTATTAATATTGGCATTTGGTCATAACATTGAGCTACGTAAAATGGATAGGGTTCTAAAAGTTTTTGATATTTGTTATTCTGAATATTTTCCCTCAACAGTATGATTCATCCAGCCTTCCAGCTCTGCTATTCAAAGCAAGACCCCTTTTGGGAGCTGAAAACCATCTGCAAAATATCAACTATCAATTAGAGAAGCTCCTTGACCAGAAATGAGACCAGTCTACTAAAGTGTGCACATATAAAGATTAGTCTCATGCTACTGCCTGTTACCTTCTGAAACTGTATTTTTCCACAAAGGAGATGGGGGAAAAAAACCCAAACTTTATTACTATTAATTTGAATTGAATATTTCTTTTGTTATGTTATAGCAACATTCCCAGGTACATTTTAAAAAAGTAAATTTGTCTATTTGTTCAGGCTGGTTGTATGGTCTTGTCACCAGAATTTAATATTACTTTGTCATTAAAATTAAATGGCTACGTATAGTAGTTTTAAAATTAAATGGCTACGTATAGTAGTTTTAGAGGCCATAGTTAATTTTTCTGGTTAATGTCAAGTAATGAGTTTCAAAATGTTTTAAAATGTTGACACCTAATCAGCCCTAGACATACAAAAGTTTTACTGTAAAAATAAACATGCAAAATTAAGCTGATATGAACAAAGACTAATAACTTTGGTTAATCAAATAAGGAGACATACTGAATTTAAGCACACTGGAGCTAATTTTCAATAAAACTGGTTTACTTCAATAAATAAGATTTGGAAGCAAAGTAATAAAACTTAGCTGATACAACAGGCTTTATAAGTTACTAGTTTGTTATTAAATGTTTTCAAGCAGATTACAGCCTAGTTATGTAAGGGTCCGTAATTAGCTACTCTTGTAATACTTCTATAATTAGTTCATCAGGAATTTCATCAATTCCATTATAACTGAGAAGACTGTTCTCTGCAGCTTCTGCCAGTTCAGCATCTTCTGTAGCCTCCAGAATATAAGCATCATCAATGCCATTATCCCAGTCAGCATCAGAAAATGTACCTTTTGACGATGCACTAGATGATGGTTCATGAGGATTCTTGGTTTCATTGTCCCTTGTTTCATCTGTTGTAAACTCCTCTTCCTTTAGTTCCAAAGGGGAGGGAGAGTAGAGTAGGAAGAAAAATACTGCTTATTCAGACAATGTATGATTTCACCATATAGTCGATCTCTACTGAATTATTCAGTTCAACAGATATTAAATTGAAAACACTGGATGATATTGTCTCCAATACAGTCACCATGGGGATGCGCTCACTGTTGCTGCCTTTGTGGCACACTCTTGAAACTCCAAATTTAGAAATGCCTGCAGTTCCTGTGGTACATTCTTTTTAGTGTACACAGATGGGGCTACAGCAAAGGTAAGACTGATTTTTTTAAAAAGTGGATAGTCTAGCTGAAGGCAAACTGGTTTTTAAAATGTATCTGCAATCTTAACATATTTTAAAAATTAACATGGATTGAAAAAAGTTATGAAGAACAGTTTTGAGACAACTGTCAAAGTACGAGTGTGGATTTGTATATTAAATAATATTGTATCAACATGAAATTTCCTGAATTTAATAATTTCACTATAGGTATATAAGAATGTTCTTTATCTCTTAAGTAAGTATGTAGCTGGAGAATAAGAAGGATTTTGATGTCTGCAACTTATTCTGAAGAGATTTGTTATGAACTGAATGTTTATGTACCCCCATCCCCAAATTCATGAGGTTGAAATCCTAACGCTCAATGTGATGGTATTAGGTGAGGTCTTTGGCAGGTAATTAGATCGTGAGGGCAGAACCCTCATGAATGGGATTAGTGCCCCCTTATAAAAGACCACAGAGTGCTCTGTGATCCCTTCTACCAGGGAAGGACACAGTGAGAAGACAGCTCTCAATGACCCAGGAAGCTGACTTGAGTCTGCCAGCACCTTGATCTTGGACTGACTGAGAAATTTGTTGTTTTTAAGTCACTCAGTCTAAGGTACTCTGTTATCGCAGCCTGAAATGCCTAGACAAGATTCATCAAAAATGATGATGTGTAATGTGTACAGTAGAGGGAGTGTGGCCAAATGTTTAACAAGTCTAAAGGAAGAGCATACAGGAGGGTTCCTTGTTCTGCTGCAACATTTTTGTAGGTTGGAACTTCTTTTAAAACCAGATGAAGAAATGACAAGCAGAAATGACAAAATATTAACTGTTAAAACTAAGTGATAGGTTTCTTATTTTAAATAAAAAGATAAATTAAATCCAAGCAGTGGTAATACTGTACACCAAAAATACTTTCAACTTGGCATTTCTGAGGTATTACTGGATAGGCAGGAAAAAAAATCAGAAACCACAAACATGCATCAAAATAACACTCAAAATGAACAAGGATAAAATATTCTTCTTAGAGGCACAATTTTAAAAATCTTTTTTTGGTTATCTCTTTAGTTCACCAGAGAATCTGGCTATCAGCTATTTTATATCCAGCTCCTACAGATCAAGAATGAGATTTCTACCATTTCAGTATGAATTTTTTCAGGAGACTTTTTAAAATCAAATTTAATAGGTACCAGTCAATTATCTAGACTGTAAACTCAAGCACTAATTCAGCTTGTAGCAGGTAACTTTCATTCTAACTGTAACACTATAAACAAAAAGGCTGATTGATGTGGGGAAAAAAACACTAAAAAAGTCGGGGGAAAAAACACTAAAAAAGTCTAGAAAATAACATGACAAAAGAATACTTAATGAAAAGTTCTTGTAAAATATTAGTAAGACCCCATATAAAAGTAGAGGGCAGTTACAGGCAGTCCATAATAGAAACACATAGTAAATCTGATGAAAGTTAAACTGCATTAATAAGTGTAAATTAAAACACCTGAAATACCACTTTGCCTACCAGGTTGGTAAAGATCAAAAGGCAAAACAAGCAATGTTGGCAAGTGTAGGGTAATAGGTACTCCCATAAACTGAAATCTAATTTCCTGTTGTTTTTGGAGAGCAATTGATAATATGTATGGAAAACACCTGTGATAGTTTAAGTAGGAAAAAAAGCCTACAATATAGTACATATACTATGACTAAAAAAACATGAGGGTACACAGATAACAAATTCTGGAAGATACAGACCACAACATTTACATCAGTTATCTGCATGGTCAAATTATAAGTGACGATGCTTTTTTCCTTTTGTGCTTTATGTATTTTCTAATGTTTGTGTACAATGAATGTGAATTACTTGGGTAAATAAAAGTTTTAAAAAGAAATATTGGTTTGGCAATCTATACCCTTTGACACAGTTCTACTTCTAGAAATTCTTCTTATAGTTTAAAGAAACAATATATTTTGTTATACTTTGTAAAGCAAAAAATGAGAAATTTATTAAATGTCTGAAACTGGTTAAATAGCTAGCTAGCTACATTAATTTCTTATGTAGCAGTGGGAAAAAATGAGGTTCATATTATGAGATTTGTGCTGAGATGAGACAATCACTACAACATATTCCTAAGTGAAAACAAGGTACAGAACAGGGTGTTTAAACAGTATCTGGACACACCTGGACACCATTAGCTCATTTACCATTATACCAAGAACTAGTTAGTAATGAGAAGGAAACTAAAAACTGCACTTACCTCTTTGAGAAGAAACAGGAGACGCACTTCAGCAGGTAATGGGAAACCTGAATCAGAAAAACAGTAGAACTATTATATAAATATCTAATTTTTACTTTGTGGTAAATGTAAAAATTAGTAACTCACAGTCAGATTTGAAGTTTTCTGCTTTACATATAGGGTCATGACATTTTTGATACCAAACTTCATTTTTCAGGTCAACCAAAATCCTTTACATTAAAAAAAGAAGAAAAAATTATTTACTATCTAGACTTGATAGAAAACAAAATTCAGCTACATGCCATTTACAAGAGATATGCCTAAGACTTAGAGATGGAGAAAAGTTAAAAAGTAGAAGGATGAAAATAGACATTAACTTGGCAAACCATGGTTGCCGAAAGTATCACACAAAATGAACTTCAGGGCAAAAATTACATACTGACAAAAGTTCCTCCGAGGAATATACAATTCCCAACTTCTATCCACCAAATAAGAGAGTCTCGAAATATGTGAGCAAAACTGACCATTTCAAGGGTAAACAAATCTTCAACCATAAATAAAGATTTTTAAAAAACTATTCTTTTGATAATTGATACCAAACAACTCCCCAAAACTCAGGATATCAAAAATTTGAGAATTTAAAACAATTATAAAAATTGACTATGCTAGGTACAACATGAATCATCAAATTGAAAAGTATTCATTCACACAACACATTCTCTGACCACAAAGCAAATTATTTAGAAATAAGCAACAAAAAGATAGCTAACTAAAACTCAGAAATTTAAAGTTTTTTTTTTTTTTTTTTTCAGTATGGGGGCCCCTCACTGTTGTGGCCTCTCCCGTTGCGGAGCACAGGCTCCGGACGCGCAGGCTCAGCGGCCATGGCTCACGGGCCTAGCCGCTCCGCAGCATGTGGGATCCTCCGGGACCGGGTCACGAACCCGTGTCCCCTGCATCGGCAGGCAGACTCTCAACCACTGCGCCACCAGGGAAGCCCTAAAACATTTTTCTTAATAACCAAATGACTCAAGGAAAAACCATGATGGAAATTAGAATATGCTTAGAACTGAATGGAACTGAAATTACATATTAAAATATGTGAGGGGAATTCCCTGGCAGTCCAGTGGTTAGGATTCCACGCTGTCACAGCCGAGGGCCCAGGTTCAATCCCTGGTCAGGGAACTACGATCCCACAAGATGCGTGGTGGGCACCCCCCCCTCAAAATTAATAAAAAATAAAATATGTGAAACAGAGCCAAAGTGATCCTTAGAAAGAAATTTATAATCCTAAAAGCTTATTTACAAAAAAAATGGCTAAACACAACTTACAGAAGTAACAGAATAAACCTTAATAAATTAAAAGGCAGGAATAAAGAGCAAAAATTTAGAAAAATCAACAAGGACAAAATGTGAAGACTAATAAAATTCAAGATTAAACAAAAAGAGGTAAAGACATAAATGTTATTAGAAACTGAGATATAACTACAAATGCAAAATATACTAAGAATGTACTATTGTGAACTTTTTCCAGTAATGCTGAAAATTTTGGTAGAAGAGACAAAGTACTAGATAAGAATAAACCAAACCAAGCAAACTTAAAGTTACAGAAAACCCGAACAATCCTATAACCACTAAAAATTCTTTTTTTAATTTAACTAGTAAGGAAACAGAATTCTTAACAGTCTATGTGGTATTGGGACATTAACCAAGGAGAGAAAAATGCTGGCAACCCAGTCTAATGGCCCCATAAACATTCCAATAGACTTCCTAATAAACAGACTAATGCTACAGTTCCCAAACTACACCAAAGTGCCCCAGAGTGACGTAGGATATTTATCTTTCTAGGGAAACGGTGATACCACATCTGTCAAGCACCCCGCAAACTACTTGCTTGTAATTCATAGCTTCAATATATCACCTTTCTTCATTCCTTTCAGTGATGTCCTATCTTTGTAGAGCTGGGTTTTTTGGTGGTGGCTGTGATGAAAAGTACCACAAATGTGGAATGAGACGTGACAGCGCAGGTGGCAGTGTCCAGCCTAATTCCAAGGTTTAAGAGTTTATGCAATGCTCAAAAGGACACACATCCCATTAATAATTATATTTAAGGAGGTTCAAAAGGTCCAACTTCCAGGTATAAATCAGTCAGTCATTGGGATATAATGTACACATGGTGACTACAGTTAATACTACTGTATTACATATTTGGAAATTGTTAAGAGTAAATCTTAAGTTCTCATCACAAAAAAAACAAAATTGTAACTGCATCTATCCATGGTGATGGATGTCAACTATTTAACTAGACTTATTGTGGAGATTATTTTGCAATCATGTTGTACACCTGAAGCTAATGTCAATTATACCTCAATTTTAAAAAATGAAATACAAATATTTTCTTTCAATTGATAAACATTATTTTTCAAAGAGCTACTAAATTATTAGGACAAATACTAAGTTGCTTGAAACTGATTAATAAACAAACTGTTAGGTATTTCTTTTGTCCTTGGAGCAATGTGAAAAAATTATTACAATACTAAGGGCAACATAACTGAGGAAGTCTGGGGACCAATGGCAATTTGCTAAGTTGAGAGTCCTTATCTATGTAGAATGTTCTTCGCAGGATGTTTCTGCATATGGTAAACAAACCTAGAGTCTGGATTTATGAGGCATGGCTCCCTGGACATGTCACACATGCTATGTAACTATGAATATAAAACACAGATGTTTCATAACCTCAAAGCTGCCTGCTGTGTACAGTGACTGCTCACTTCTGCCTCAGCTTTCAACCTGAGTTAGAGAAAAGCATCCAGTGCAGGAAGGAGCCGGGTCACCGTGCCAGATGTCCCAGGCCTCACTCTGCTTCACCTGTGCCTTTGCTTCCTTATATCTTTAAAGCTACTAGTAAAGCTTATCATTGGGTAAGATCTCTGATTCGTATGAGTGAGGTTTGACAATCCAATCCTCAAATTTGTTAGTAATCAGGGAAATTCAGATGAAAACCACAATACCATTTTAAACTCACCAGATTAGCAAAACAAATTTTTTAAATCTAACAATAATAAAGTTTTGGTAAGAATATGGATCAGTACAAAATCTGAAAACACTGCTGGTGGGAGTGTAAAGTAGCGTGACCATTTGGAAAAATAATTTATTATCTAATAAAATTAAATATGTGCACATTCTATGGCACAGCAGTTCTAGTTTTAGAAATATTTTGAAAAACTTGCATATGTGCACTAAGTGATATATACAAGACTATTTGTAGCTTCACTGTTTATAGCAGCAAGCCAAATGTCCATAGTAGGACAATAGATGACCTGGTATATTTATATTTGTATAATGACATCATATACAATGATGAAAACAAGAATAAGCAACAGCTACATGCTGCAGTATAGTATGGATGAACCTCACAAATACAATGTTGACCAAAAAAGCAAGTCAAAGGATGCAATTTACCTAAGATTCAAAAAAATGTAAAATGAAATAATACACTGTTTGGAGATACAAATATATATGGAAAAACCATAAAGAGAAGCAAGGGAAAGATTAACACAAAATCCAGGATAATAGCTATAATCTCTAAACAAACTGGGGCTGGGCCCACAAGGTACTTCTGAGGTTTGGATAAATTTTGTTTCTTATGGTGAGTGACAGATATGGCAAGTTATCATTTTAGTATTAGTTCTTAAAATGTACATATATCAATACATTATATACACTCTTTTACATATATGATATATCTCACAGTTAAGAGAAAGAATATTCTGTGGATACATAATACAACCTGGTAATTCTTCAGAAAGAAACATAGCAACCTAAGTATCTCAAGAAGTTAAAAGATGATCATTGTATGATAATGATTTTCTGGCAAACTTTCATGCATAGAAAAAAGACTAGAAAGATACACCAAAATCTTAACCATAGATATTACTGGTTCTGGGACTATGGGTGGCCTTTTCTTTTGTGTTTTTCTGTTAGAGCTTTCTGCACTGAGCATATCGTTTTTAAAGTCTTTTTTTCTTTACTGAATTAATCTACATATATAGTATAGCACTGAATAATAATATCTAAGATGTTTTCCGGCTTTGTAACAAAAGCTTCATGATCATTTTCTCACATCTGGCCCATGTGCTATAAAAGCTTGATATATCCAAGTCTGAGCTTTGACATTATGTATTAAAACACAGCAAAATTTCTCACATCATAAATGATAACTACTGGGTTTCTATTTTATCCCTATTCTAAATATTTCCTTATATGATTTAAAATTCTTATGGTTTTACTTCTTCCTTTACTTCCTCTCCTTTTGGCAGGGGCATTTAAAAGAAAACTCTAAAAACAGGGCCTGGCATATACAGCAAGCACCCAATAAATACTGGTTCCCTTCTATACCATTCTTTGTCTTGAACGTGTTAACATAACAACTCCAATTCTTAAACACTGACGGAGTAGTTTCCTTCTGATCCAAATTTGCTCACTTTTGATTTAGACTCCATAGATGTCAAGGGCCAATGGCTACTACCTCTCATTTCTTTCTAGCCCCACTTAATTCTACTTTAGTTTCCTCAAAATTTTACTATTTAAGGGATTATTTTACCAAATAAAGTACAAATAAAGATATGTGCTAGAGGCAAGGTAATAAGAAACTCAAATATTAAAAAACACAAACCAGGGCTTCCCTGGTGGCGCAGTGGTTGGGAATCTGCCTGCTAATGCAGGGGACACGGGTTCGAGCCATGGTCTGGGAGGATCCCATATGCTGCAGAGCAACTAGGCCCATGAACCACAACTACTGAGCCTGCATGTCTGGAGCCTGTGCTCCACAACGAGAGGCCACGATAGTGAGAGGCCTGCACACCGCGATGAAGAGTGGCCCCCGCTTGCCACAACTAGAGAAAGCCGTCACACAGAAACGAAGACCCAACACAGCAAAAATAAATTAATAAACTCCTAAAAAAAAAAAAAACACAAGCCAAATATAAATTGAATTACAACTAAATCTATTATAACAAAATCACTTTTATATTCTCATCTTTAAAAATTATAAACATTTAAAATATAATACTGGTTAAACACACAGAACTCAAACAATATTACTTACATGATATTATCACTCTTGTGGGCTCTTCCAATGTTTTCACACCAGCGGTATTTACAAATATCATAAACCAATAATTCTTCTGGGAAAAAGTAGTTCCAGCGCCGAATTCCTGAACCACAAATAATGTTTCTAAAGATATTATTATTGTATCATATAACAGTTAATTAAGAATAAGACTGTTTACCTCCTTTAATGCCATTTTTATTCACCAACAAGAGAACAAATTGATCAATTTCAGGGTAAGGTGAACACTGAAAACCTTCAATGGTTTCTACTGCAACAAAAAGAAAAATTAATTATAAATCATAACGGCTAAAACATGAGGAGTTAAATTTTAAGTTGTTTAGTACAACCAGGGGTTTTGCAACCTGCCCCTGCCAGTTCGTTTTGGTTTTTTTTGGCCTTCTCTGCAATTTGTCTTTTAGTCAGTCATGGATTCTTACAAGGAAGCAGGTAAAATTCAGACCTCTCAATTAAATCAAATTGTAGCTAATTTGCATAAAAAGCATTTAGTATCACTTCAGTTGCTTGCTTCATTCTGATAAAGAGAAAAGCAGTCCCTTGCATCCAGGAGCTGTCCTAGTATTATCATTGAGGCCTTGGTGTTGCTACAAGCTGGCTGGGGACTCACAGCTCAGCCCTGGTGTTCTCCTATTAATCATAAACTATTTCACAGAACTTCAACATCAGATAAGTTCACTCTGTGGCCATGATGATTCAAGACATAAATGAACACCACTCTGTAATCATGTGTGAACACAGACAAAACATGAACATTTTCCAAACCACAAAAATGACCAAGCGCCCACCTATCTTGTCTAATGTAAGTAGCTGCTCCTTCTTTGCCAATTGTAGCTTTAGTCTCTCTGTAGTCGGCCTTCCTTCTAGATAAGATTTATCAAGATATTTAATCATAAAATTGTCACTGACAGCACCCAATTCAAAACAAACACACTTCCTTGGAGACTTCAAAAGCATCTAACTCAAGCCTGAATCCTATAAGTCCTTTCTAACACCCTTTTACTGAGATGCCCTCAGTTTCCTATGGTGTGCATTCTCCACCGTGGTGACCAGTAATAAACTCAGCTTACCATAGGTGTGTTCTCCAGTGCTCTTTAGCTGTAGAGCACTGACATTCATTATATTTTCTAAGACTCTAATGGAATAATTAAAAATAATTTATTTAAAATCTTACTTAAATTTAAAGACAGAATACTCTTCTTAAAATAAAGCCCGATTTCACTTACAAAAATAGTACACATAATTTAAGAAATTTTAGAAAATATATTATAGCAGAAATGAGAGGAATGCCTAGAAATAACTGTTAAACAACCAGAGGAAAATAAACATAAGAAAATGTTATCCATATTTTTAAAATAAACCTGTGATCATACCTCACATATAATTTTGAGTCTTAACGTCATAAATGGGCATTTTTCATATTATATAGGCTTTATAAATTTAAATCAAATGACTACAGTGTATTTTATAGTATGTAACCAATCCCATTTTGTTGTACATTTAAATTTTCAGTTTCATTACTATAAATAATGATAGCCCAAAATATGTGTATAAAAATATTTACTGGAGAGTTTATATATATCTTAGAAAAAGATCTATATTTTCTTCAGTATAGGAATGAAGAACACATAGATTTTATGAAAAATTATATGGCCATTAAAAGAATGCAGGGCTTTCCTGGTGGCGCAGTGGTTGAGAGTCCACCTGCCGATGCAGGGGACACGGGTTCGTGCCCTGGTCCGGGAAGATCCCACATGCCACGGAGCAGCTGGGCCCGTGAGCCATGGCTGCTGAGCCTGCGAGTCCGGAGCCTGTGCTCCGCAACGGGAGAGGCCACAACAGTGAGAGGCCCACATACCACAGAAAAAAAAAAAAGAATGCAGAAGCTCTCCATATACAGGAAATATAGGAAAAGCTCTGCTGGGTTAAATAGGCAGTTATTAACAGTGGTTACCCATCTCTGATTGTGGACAGAGTGGTGAAGATAACTTTGTTTTTTCATTTTGTGTTTTTTATATAAACAATCTACATTTTCATATTTTTCCCCAAAATACCATAAAATGAAAATTAGTAAAGAAGCTTTAAAATACATCAATTTTTATACTTTTTCCATTTTGGATAGAAACCCAGTTGTTCTGACGGATCAGTACATATGAATACTTAAGATTTAAGATTTATAAGCAAAATAAATTTTGCATCCTTAAATTTTCATAGGAAATTGTTTTCTTAAAATTACCTGAAGTACTGGTATGGTTAAAATTCTCAACTCGTTGTTTATTTTGAGATATGTCACATGTCAGAATTCGTAAAGTATCTGAGAATCTGAAGAAGAAAATATGTACAACAAAAAGTAACAATATATATTAGAATTAAAGAGACGTGACTACCGAAAGGACACAATTTCAAATAGTTTCATAATAAAATCCTTTGTTCAACAGATAACTGTTCTAGGATATTTATGCCACATTTGCCTACAAAAGCACCGATCCAACCCATATAAAAAAAGAGTAGTTTGATGATCATTTGAAACTGATGCTTTCCTCTACTACAGAGTAAATCAGAAGACACTAGGACTGCTGAAGCTGCAGAATGAACTATTCCCCATACAGAGCCTTTGAAATTTATGTTAACAAAGTCTGGATAATAGGAAGAAAAAGAGAGGGATGAAATCAAAGGGAAAATAGATTAAAATTAACTGAAAGCAAAAATACATTCATAACCATAAAGAATTTAGCCTTTATTTCAGGAAGAAAAATACCTGATATTTAGTTGGATACACAAATGACAATTAAGATAACTCTACTCAGTAGAAGAACTCTCCACTTCTGTAAAATTAACATTGAAACTACAAAAGGAATGAGATTTGGTAATCAGGAGATTACCTGTACTTCAGGCTGTTATTAGAGGCCAACTGTGTTGCTTTTCCCATACATGACAGAATGTGACCTTATTCTGGTGCCAGCAACAGTGGGGAGCAAGAATCATGTAATTTTTAGGACCATGCTACCTCTAGAATCTCAGATATGACGAATAATTAACATTTATTGAGCAGAGACCATGTGCCAGGCACTGTCGTAAGCACATACATACAGCTCTTATTTAATCCTCACAACTCCATTAAATAGATGTTAATATTATTTCCATTTTAAAGGTAAGGAAACTAAGACTTTGATGTTACTTCTAAGATTTGTTATGAAAACTCAAATAGTCCATAAATATACAGAGAAAAACAACACATCTTCCCACCCTCCTGAGTAACTGCTATCAAATCAACATTTGGACACAACTTGCCCTATGGCAGTGTATTTTAAGTATTTTTACTAAAATTTATCTCTATGGAATCTCTCTTTAAACTTATATGTAGGAAAGGCAAAAAGGAGAAGAATCAGAACAAGTTAATTCAGTGAGGCAATTCAGCCTGATCTTTAACCACATGTCCTACACTAACAAAAATTGCCAGCCCAGAGTGAAGGGGAATAAAGGTATATACTTTTGTTGAAAGATGTCTTTCACACTTTTTAAAAATGACCAAAACATGGGAATTTAAATGTTCAGTAACAGAACTGAAAATAGAGTAGATCAGTATAATGGAAAATTATACAGACATCAACAATTTTATTTACAATTTACTGTTGGTAATTATTAACTTGACAAATATTCATGACATAATGTTGAGTGGATAAAACAGGTGACATAACAATATAAATAATGATCTCAAGAAATATGTTTTAAATGAAGGAGCTATGTAAATTATATTTCTGTATGTGCATATATAAAAAGAAAATTAAATGTTAACAGTAATTACATTTCCAAATGCAATACAAGTCATTTTTCATTTTTATAGAATTTTTAAAAACTGGAAAATATATCAAATATAATCATAAAAGGATATAAAGAGAAAAATGGTTAAAAAAGAACTTTTACTATTATTATTTACTGGACAAAAAAGAACAGTTAACGTAGAATTTTAAGAAATGACTTTCTTTTACTCAAGATATAAAAAATTTATACAATTCACATTTTAGTAATATACAGTGCCGTTCACTGCTTAATAAATATTCATGAACACACAATGATTTAATTCTGGTCCTGTATACCTGACATTGCTGACCAAAGCAGAGAGGAAATATTGGTTTTCTTTGGAAATATTCTCCGATTGTACAGGATAAAATTTGTTATCTTCAGCAACCTCCAAAGGCACATACTTTCCTATTTTTGATGATTTATACAGTCGAAAGTTTCTATTTCTTGTATAAACTCCTATATCAAAAATTTAATAAAACAATATGAATGCATGTTTTCAGTGATTTGCTTTTATAGTCAGCAAATATTAAGTTAATTCTGTATAGTATTATTAGAAAAAACACCTGGTTGTGGTTCAAGATAGTGACGTAGGAAGATCCTGAACTCACCTTCTCCCAGGGACACACTGAATCTACAGCTATACATGGAACAATTTCCTGTGGAAAAAAATCTGAAAACCGGAATGGCCCCTTCACATCAGACAAACGAGAGAGAACTCACACGGAAGCAGACTGGAAAGGCTGAGAGGCACTCTCACCATAAACCCCACCCCAGGCACGGCAGCACACAGTCAGAAGGGAACGCAAACCCGGAACTTCTCCCCAAGGCGTACAGGGTTCATACCCCACATCAGGCACCCCAACTTTTAAGACCAGCACCTGAGAGATGAGCCCTCCAAACACCTGGATTTGAAGACCAACTTGGCTCACACCCACGAGACCCACAGGGCCATGAAAACTGAAAACGGCTCTTAAAGGGCTCACATGCAGACTCACCTGCCCCAGGGTCAAGTGCAGAAGCAGCCCATTTAAAAGCGCCCATTCGTTATGTGAAAGAGACTCATTTACTCATTTTAAAGCACTGATCTGAGGGGCAAGGTCCTGTTGGGATATTCTCTAAGGATGGAGGCTGGTGGGTACCTCCTTCCTGCTCTCCTTCTGCCTTGCTAAAGCTGGAGGGAGCCATCTTTCTTTTTTACTTTATCAGCAGGTACCGTCTTCGTACCACCCCTCTGCCTTGCTCCAGCAGTGGGTGCCATCTTTGTGCTCTCCCTCTGCCATGATCCAGAATGCCAGTAGCTCCCAGAGGGGAGCTTCTACACACATCTGCTGCCCTGGTTTTCACAGCTGGTGACACACTTTCTGTGGCTACCATCCAGATACCCCTTGATCTCCTGGCTCTAGAGGTTAGGGAAGCTTGTGATCCTGGGTCCCATGGAGCTGTAACAATCAGAGAGACAGCTCTTGGTAGACTACCACTCCCAGGGTACTGCACAGACAGCAGACTTAAACACACCCCCAGTCTTTCTAACAAAGAGGCCTATTTGCTTGTCCTGGAGCTTAGGGGCTCTTAGGGAATGGAGGCCGGTGGACACCATCTTGGCACTCTCCCTCCACCTCACTACAACTCACCAGTATCTCTCAGAAAGGAGCTTATACACTCATCTGGAGCCCCAAATTTTGTGACTCCTGCCCAGCCAGACTGCCTGGCTCTGGTGACTAGCAGGGCTTAGGCTTGTGGTCCCACAGGAGTGTATATATTTGCATTTTTTAAAAGCTGCTGCCTGAAGGTCTGGCTTCCAATCAGCTTGAATCTAGGTGCTGACTGAGATCCTCCCCTTTGGGGCACTGACTGCTCTTGGCACACACTCGGTTACTAGGAGTTATTAAAAATATAATAGGGGGCTTCCCTGGTGGTGCAGTGGTTGAGAGTCCGCCTACCGATGCAGGGGACATGGGTTCGTGCCCCAGTCCGGGAAGATCCCACATGCCGTGGAGCGGCTAGGCCCGTGAGCCATGGCCGCTGGGCCTGTGCGTCCAGAGCCTGTGCTTCACAACGGGAGAGGCCACAACAGTGAGAGGTCCGCATACCGCAAAAAAAAAAAAAAAAAATTATATATATATATATATATATATATATATATATATATATAAAAAATAGGCTGCTTGGACAAGCACAGAGGTTTGTGACAACATGAGCTAAGACACGACTGAATGATAAAGTTCATCTTCTACACAAGGCCAACCCTTCAAGACTGGGAGAAGTGGCTGTTGCATCTAATGGGTAGAAACCAACACGGAGAGTCAAGCAAAATGAAGAAACAGAGGAATATATTCCAAATGAAAGAACAAGATAAAACCTCAGGGGAAAAAATCTTAATGAAACAGAGAAAAGTAACTCACCTGATAAAGAGTTCAAAATAATGGTCATAAAGATGCTTGCTGAACTCAGGAAAGAATGGAGGAACACGATGAGAACTTCAACAAAGAGAAAATATAAGAAAGTACCAAACATAAATCAAAGAACTGAAGAATACCGTAAGTGAACTGAAAAATACACTAGAGGGGTTCTACGGCAGACTAGATGAAGGAAAAGAGAGGATCAGTGAACTTGAACACAGGGCAGAGGAACTCACCCAATCAGAGCAGCAAAAAAAGAAAAGAATGGAAAAAAAAGTGAAGACTGCTTAAGGGATTTATGGGACAACATCAAGCAGACTAACATTCACATTAAAGGAGTCCTAGAGGAAAAAAAAGAGACAGAGACAGAAAGGAAAAGAAGACTTATTTGAAGAAATAATGGCTGAAAACACCCCTAACCTGGGGAAGGAAACGGACATACAGATACAGGAAGCCCAGAGAGTTCCAAATAAGATCAATCCAAAAAGACCCATACCAAGACACATTATAATTAAAATGCCAAAAGTTAAAGGGAGAGAATCTTAAAGTAGCAAGAGAAAAAACTTGTTACATACAAGGGAACCCCCATAAGACTATTACCCCAGAAGGGAGTGGTATGATATATTCAATCTGGCTGACATAAAAAAAATTTCCAACCAAGAATACTCTACCTGAAGTTATCATTTATAATTGAAGGAGAAAGTTTCCCAGATAAATAAAGGCTAAAGGAGTTCACCACCACACCACTAAACCAGCCTTGTAAAAATATTAAAGGTACTTCCTTAAACTGAAAAAATAAAAGGGGTGTTAATTAGTAACAAGAAAACATATAGGGACTTCCCTGGTAGTCCAGTGGTAAAGAATTCACCTTCCAATGCCGGGGATGCAGGTTCTCTGGTCAGGGAACTAAGACCCACATGCCGCAGGGCAACTAAGCCCACGTGCGCCGCAACTTCTGAGCTCACGCACCCAAACAGAGAGCCTGCGTACTGCAAACTATAGAGCCTACACGCTCTGGAACCCGAGCGCCAGAACTACAGAGCCCACGTGCCCTGGAGCCTGCACACCACAACTAGAGAGAGAAAACCCACACGCCACAACTAGAGAGAAGCCCGCACACCACAATCAAAGATCCCACATGCCTCAACAAAGATCCTGCATGCCATAACTAAGACCTGACATGCCAAAGATAAATAAATAAATAAGTCTTTTTTTTTTTTTTTTTAAATGAAAGGATAAATCTCACTGGTAAAGATAAATATATAGTAAAGGTAGTGGATTAAGACTTATAAAACTAGGGACTTCCCTGGTGGCACAGTGGTTAAGAATCCCCCTGCCAATGCAGGGACATGGGTTCAAGCCCTGGTCTGGGAAGATCCCACATGCCGCAGAGCGACTAAGCCCATGCGCCACAACTACTGAGCCTGCACTCTAGAGCCTATCAGCCACAACTACTGAGCCCACATGCCACAGCTACTGAAGCCCACACGCCTAGAGCCCATGCTCCACAACAAGAGAAGCCACCGCAATGAGAAGCCCACGCACCACAACAAAGAGTAGCCCCCACTCACTGCAACTAGAGGAAGCTCGTGTGCAGCAACGAAGACCCAATGCAGCCAAAAAAATTAAATAATTGTTATCAACTTAAAATAGACTGTTATAAGTTATATGCAAGCCTCATGGTAACCACAAAGTAAAAACCTATAGTAGATAATACACAAAATGACAAAAGGAAACTAAGTATACCACTAGAAAAGTCATCAAACCACAAAGGGAGAGAGCAAGAAAAGTAGAAGGGAACAGAGGAACTACAAAACAGCAGAAAACTATTAACAATATGGCAATAAGTACATACCTATCAATAATTAAGTGTAAATGGACTAAATTCTCCAATCAAAAGATACAGAGTGGCTAAATGAATTAAAAAACAAGACCGGGCTTCCCTGGTGGCACAGTGGTTGAGAATCTGCCTGCCAATGCAGGCAACATGGGTTCGAGCCCTGGTCTGGGAAGATCCCACATGCCGCGGAGCAACCAAGCCTGTGAGCCACAACTACTAAGCCTGCGCGTCTGGAGCCTGTGCTCCGCAACGAGAGGCCACGATAGTGAGAGGCCCGTGCACCGCGATGAAGAGTGGCCCCCGCCTGCCGCAACTAGAGAAAGCCCTCACACAGAAACGAAGACCCAACACAACCAAAAATAAAAATAAATTAAAAAAAAAAAAAAGATTCCACATCTTCGCCCAACGTTGGCTTTCCTTTAAAAAACAAAAAAGCAAAACAAGACCTATCTATATGCTGCCTACAAGAGATGCACTTCAGTCATAAGGATACACACAGGCTGAAAGTGAAGGGGTAAAAAAAGATATTCCGAACAAAGAGAAGCAAAAAGTAAGCTGGAATAGCTATACTTGTATCAGACAAAACAGACTTAAAACAAAGACTGTAATAAGAGACAAGAGCATTACATAATGATAACTGATAAAGGGGTCAATACAAGAAAAGGACATTTGTAAATACTTATATACACCCAACATAGGAGCATCTAAATATATAAAGCAAATATTAACAAACCTAAAGGGAGAAATAGACAGCAATACAATAATAGTAGAAAAATTTAATACCCCACTTACATCAGTGGATAGAGCATCCAGAAAGAAAATCAGTAAGGAAATATTAGCCTTAAAGGACACATTAGATCAGATGGACTTTACAGAACATTCCATTCAAAAGCAAGAGAATACACATTCTTCTGAAATGCACATGGAACCATCTCCAGGACAGATCATATGTTAGGCCACAGCAAGTCTTAACAAATTTAAGAAGACTGAAATCACATCAAGCATCTTTTCTGACCACAGTGGTGTGAAACTAAAAATTAATTACAAGAAGAAAACTGGAAAATTCACTTGTATGTGGAGATTAAATAACATGCTAATGAGTAAGCAATGGGTCAACACAAAGGAGAAATAAAAAAATACCTTGAGATAAAAGAAAATGGAAACACAACATACCAAAATGTACGGGATGCAACAAAAGCAGTTCTAAGAGGGAAGTTAACAGTGATATAGGCCTACCTCAAGAAACAAGAAAAATCTCAAATAAACAATCTAAAATTATACATCAAGGAACTAGAAAAATAAAACCAAATGAAGCCCAAAGTTAGTAGACAGAAAGAAATAAAAGATCAGAGCAGAAACAAATAGAGACTAAAAAAAAACAAAACAAAAAGATCAATGAAACCAAGAGCTGGTTCTTTGAAAAGATAAACAAAATTGATAAACCTTAGGTAGATTCACCAAGAAAAAGAGAGGACTCATATAAATAAAATCAGAAATGAAAGAGGAGACGTTACAACTGACACAAAGGATCATAAGAGACTACCATGAATAATTATATGCCAACAAATAGGAAAACCTAGAGTAAGTGAATAAATTCCTAGAAGCATACAACCTGCCAAGACTGAATCATGAAGAAATCGAAAATCTGAATGGACCAAGTACTAGTAAGGACACCGAATCAGTAAACAAAAACCTCCCAACAAAGCAAAGTCTAGGATAAGATGGCTTCAAATGTGAATTCTATCAAAGATTCAAAGAATACCAATCCTTCTCAAACTCTTAAAAAAAAATAGAAGAGGGAACATGTCCAAACTTACTTTACAAGACCAAAATTCCCCGAGAGCAAAACTAGACAAGGATACCATAAGAAAAGAAAACTACAGGCCAATATCACTGATGAACATAGATCAAAAAATCCTCAACAAAATATTAGCAAACCAATTTGAACACTACATTAAAAGGATCATACACCATGATCAAGTGGGATTTATTCCAGGGATGCAAGGACAGTCCAACATCCACAAATCAATCAATGTGATGTAACAACACATTAACAAATGAAGGATAAAAATCATATGATCATCTCAACAGATGCAGAAAAAGCATTTGACAAAATTCGACATCCGCTTATGATAAAAACTTTCAATAAAGCGGATACAGAGGAAACATACCTCAACATAAAGGCTACATATGACAAGTCCACAATTAGAAATACTCAGCAGTGAAAAACTGAAAGCTTTTCCTCTAAGATGAGGAACAAGACAAGGACGCACACTCTCACCATTTTTATTCAATGTAGTATTGGAAGTCCTAGCCACAGCACTTGGGCAAGAAAAGAAAGAAAAAAGGTATCCAAATTGTAAAGGAAGAAGTAAAACCACCATTGTTTGCAGATATATTGTATACTTGATATTATACAGGTCTGCCTCAACTAACAACTGGTTACATCCCAACAAATAAGTTGAAAACGCATTTAATACACCTAACCTACCGAATATCATAGCTTAGCCTAGCCTACATTAAATGTGCTCAGAACACTTACATTAGCCTACAGTTGGGCAAAATCATCTAACACAAAGCCTATTCTGTAATAAAGCACTGAATACCTCATGTAATTTATTGAATAGTATATTGAAAGTAAAAAGAACAGAATGGTTGTCTGGATACAAAATGATTGTGACTGATCTTATCACCTGACTGCATGGCTGACCGTGAGCTGCAGCTCACTGTCACTGCCCAGCATCACAAGAGGGTATTATACCACATATCACTAGACCAGGAAGACATCAAAACTGAAAATTCGAGGTACGGTTTCCACTGAATACATTACTTTTACACCACTGTAAAGTCAAAAAATTTTAAGTGGGGAAAAAAAGTGGTAGGTCAAACCATCATTAAGTCAGGGATCATCTATATGTAGAAAACCCTAAAGACTCTACCAAAAAAATGTTTGAATAAATGAATTCAGTAAAGCTGCAGGATACAAAATCAATATACAGAAATCTGTGGTGTTTCTATACACTAATAACAAACTATCGAAAGAGAAAATAAGAAAACAATCCCACTTACAATTGCATCAAAAAGAATAAAGTATCTAGGAATAAATTTAACCAAAGAGGTGAAAGACCTGCACACTGAAAGCTACAGGCATACTTCAGAGCTACTGTGGGTTCAGTTCCAGAACACCACAATAAAAGCAAATATCAGAATAAAGTCACACGAATTTTTTCGCTTCCCAGTGCTTATAAAAGTTATGTTTATATTACATTATAGTCTATTAAGGGTATAACAGCAGTCTTTAAAAATATACATACCTTAAGAAATACTCTGTAACTAAAAAAGTGCTAACCACCATCTGAGGCTTCAGCAAGTCATCGTAGTAACATCAAAGATCACTAATCATAGATCATCAAAACAAATAATAATGAAAAAGTATAAAATATTGCAAGAATTACCAAATGTGAAACAGAGACACAAAGTGAGTAAATGCTGTTGGAAAAACTGCGATATCAGTGGTTGACTCAAGGCTGTCACAAACCTTTAATTTGTAAAAAACACAATATCTGTGAAGTGTCATAAAACAAGGAATGCCTGTTTTATTTCCAAATTCTTATACTTGGTTGTCAGGGGTGCTAGAAAGATATGCAATACAGCAGGAACACTTCCTATTCTCAGCCTGATTGGCCTGGTAATCTTGCTTATAGCTTAAACCTCCTTTTCTTCAACTTGTAGACACTGAAGCTCTCTGAGTTGCTCTAACCATCAATGGCAAAAATGCTGCTCCTATGGTTTTTCAAATCACAAGCTAGAACTCAACATAAAAATGAGGTTTAGTTCACCAAATTGGAGCTCAGCTGAATTAGGGGTCCTGATTGGCCTGTGTGTTACCTAAACAGGCTGAGGTCCTGTGCCAGTGCTTCATACATCCTCAGATTCAGAGACCAGAAGCAAGCAGGGCAGAAGAGAGCACAGCTGAAGAAGCCACCAGTTTTATCATAGGAGGAAGTTGATGAAATAACCCTGCAAAGCTCTTCAGTGCAGAAAACGCCAGGCTTACTTTGCCACCTAATAGCTCCATTTTTACATTGTACCTATTTTTACAATTTATTTCATCTAATTAAACCTGTCAACAGCACTGGAGACTGCTATCCAACTGTCCCCTGTCATGAATCCTGTGAACATTTCAGAGCAGGAGCCAGCCACAACCATTCTCTTCTGGAGCTCAGGCCAGCCTGCTGCTTAGGTCCCACAGCACCCCTTTAAGATCTCCTAACAGAAACCTACTAGATTTCCTGCACCTGAGCTCGCTGATCACATTCTGCTAGTGACCCCAGTCGTTGTGGAGCAGTGGTGGTAGTAAGAGTCCTAAGCAAAGTGACAGGTGGGCACTGACTGGTCTCTCACAGAAGTATACAAGTCCAACAGAGAGCTATCAATTCTACTTACCTAGATCTACAAAAAGATGCTTTTCTCCTACATTATTCTTCACAATTAAAAATGAAAGATCAGGACTGCTTTGCTTAGCTGACCCCAGCCTCTCCAGTTTCTTTGAATTCGTTGTCCAGCTCTCTCCCATATCCTTATCTGTGGACTTTTTGCTAAAGGAAATTCCTTGTTTAACTGGTGTTTCAGAAAAATGGGAAAATTCATGGCCCATTGTCTCTGGAGTCATATCATCATCTTCACTAGCAATTAAGTGAAAAGCAGGCTCTAACATTTTTCTCACAAAATTACCTAAAGGAAAAATAAAGAGGTTAATCTAATTCTTTTCTGCAAACTATAACAAGATCTAGGCACAAATCTACACAGGACAATTTTACACAGTAAGGCTTCTACTTTCAATTTCTGGTTTTAAAACTGAGTTGTTGGTCTTCCCTGGTGGTGCAGTGGTTGAGAGTCCACCTGCCGATGCAGGGAACACAGGTTCGTGCCCCGGTCCAGGAAGATCCCACATGCCGCGGAGCGGCTGGGCCCGTGAGCCATGGCCCCTGAGCCTGTGCGTCCGGAGCCTGTGCTCCGCAACGGGAGAGGCCACAACAGTGAGAGGCCCGCGTACCGCAAAAAAAACAACTGAGTTGTTATTATAAACTGTAACACACCTCTCCTATACCTCCTTCCTCTTGTGTAATCTTTTACTTTTTAAATTCCCTTTGACAGGGGAGTTTGGTGTAACTTGTAAACAAATCATCTTAGAAGGGAAGGTTAATGTGAGACAATTTGTCAATGTTGCTAGTATGGGCCTGGGCCGAATGCTCTGTCACCAAAAAAGCACCATTTTAATGAATACAAATTGAGTAGAATTTACAATCACAATCAATGATTAAAGAATGCAAGGTTCCGACTGGAGGGGTGGGATAGGGAGGGTGGGAGACGCAAGAGGGAAGAGATATGGGAACATATGTATATGTATAACTGATTCACTTTGTTATAAAGCAGAAATTAACACACCATTGTAAAGCAATTATACCCCAATAAAGATGTTAAAAAAAAAACTTTGATTAGGATTTAAAAGGATTTTGAATTGGTTACCAGCTGAATATTTTCTTTATTACTGAATAACGTCTTCTATTAAAGCTTCAGTGTGTTTAATGTTAAAAAAAAAAAAAAGAATGCAAGGTTTACACAAGTAAACAGTGCTGCCACACTCTCCCCATGTCAGGACGTCAGCAAATTTCTCAGGACTTATCTTCTCTCCTTCACTCGCATGACGCGCCCCAAGAACCTGGACATTCACAGCCATCAGTTTAAGGTTCTTGCTCCTCCTGCCTCTCCCGATAACTGGTCATGAGCAGGTTGTGGCCCAATAACTAAAGCCCAAAACTAAAGCAAGTAAATACATCTACTGTATTTCAACATTTATTCTAAGAGCTCTAAATATGAGTGGCACTATCTTTACATAGAAAAGATGGTATGACAATCCAGAGCTTCTTTCAACTCTCATAATTTGTATCATAAAATCAAATAACCATCTGGTTAAGTTGCTTCACGCATAACAATACTGGAGAAATGCACTACCATAAGAAAAACTTAACTTTAGTCTTTAAAATTGGTATAGTCTGGGTTTGTCACTTTATTTACCAGACAGCTTGAACCCTTAAATCATAAGATACACATGCTCTAAGTTCAAAATTCTTTCTCCAAATTAGACTTAATTACTTCCCTCCTCAAAGAAACAAATCCACTATCTTCTAAAACTAAAAATCAAAATGAAAGCAAAAGAATTTGATCCTTGCAATCATACACAGACATGATTATCTCTGGAATGAGGGAAATAAGGTAAACACTGAGTAAAAAGAAATCATGATATATCAAAGAACAATAAAGCAGTCCAAACATAAATTGATAAAGTAAATTTTCCTGGAAATGTAAAATTACACCTACTTGACACCAAGAAGGTGTGGCTGCAGAACCAGTTGCCAAGACTGTGCTTAGGAGGCCGGGCTAGGACAATGGACGGTGTAACCACCTTAATACTAACACCAGCTCCAGCAAACTACTCTGCTTTCTGCTGCCCTTCCCAACAGTATCACCCTCACCTCATCATTAATACAGGGACAATTTTATTGGCTGGGAATAACTCAAAAGAACGTATCAATCATAGAAATTTCAGGTTCTATGGCAGGCTGGTAGGAAAGTATTTCAAGGAGATCAAATTTGTACATCTTGCTAACATTCTATGATCTTACAGTTCCTAATTCCTCTTTCTGAAAGGTTGACAAAAGGAAGCGGAAATGTCACCAAGAGATACATTGAGGGAGGGGAACCAAAGTGGTGAATCAGGACTATTTCATAATCTCTGCATCTCTGGTTCTGACAGTTCGTAATTCTGGAGGACCGAAGCCACAGATGGCATCCCGTTTACCAGGTCTGACCGTGTCTCCCACTCCAGCCACACCAGCTGCTCCCCAAATTAGTCACGAACTCTTACCTCTATACTTTTGCTTACGCTGTTCTGACAGTAAAGCCTTTCTTATCTTTGCCTGATGGAATCTGATTTAAAGCCCAGCTTCAACGTCAGTAGGAGACACTGCTCATTACCGGTCAAATCTCCACTCTCCTCTTCCGCCTAGCAGCAAATCTCCGTGCTTAGCCTCGTGGCTAGGAGCCAGAGCAGACCACAAGGAGTAAACAGGAATCAAAGAAATACCTGCTTAGGACTCTACCCCCGCACCAGACAGCAGAGCCACCTAACATTCAGTCATTCATTCAGCAAATATTAAATGACTTCTTGTATTTATGGTAGCTGCTGCTGCTACTGTTATATTATTATTACTGATAAAGACATTACTGTCTGATAAGCTCTGGAAATACAATAGTGAATAAGAAACAATCCATGCCCTAAAGAAACATTAAGTAGAATAGAGAAGACAAAACAAGAAATTACCCCAGGAAGTGGTGAACCCTTTGGCATGATAGGCACTGGGCACGCTCTGCAGCCCAGAGGGAACACGAACCTAAGTCTTAGGGTTTTGGGATGTGACAGAAAAGGCTTCTCAGATGACAATACCTACACTGAGTCTTAACAGACCAGGTGAACTGGTCAGACAGCAGCGTCAAAAAGTGCAGAGGCCTAAGGACTAGAGAAAATGTGGCCCCCATGGGAGCTAAGTGAAGGACAGAGTTAGAAGTGCCAAGTGGTGAGAGATGAGGCCAGTGCACAACGGGCCTCATCATGCAAACTAAGACACCTGGACTCTTCCCTGAAGGCAAGGAATAATCCTGGAAGGGTTTGAGGCACACAGTAGTATGATCAGACCACTCTAGCTAGCTGACTAAAGAAGTAAGCAAGACACAGCATTTCCACTTGGGTAACTGGGTGAATGGTCATACCACTCGGATATACACCTCACAGGAGAAGGAGCAAGTTTGGGAGAAAAGATGAGGAGACTGGTCTAGGACACACTGAGTTTCAAGTGTCTGTGTGGGGATGTTTAATGGGAGAACTGTCTTGGCTGCAGATGAAGACTTGAGTCATCAACACACAGATGGGAACTGAAGCCATGACGGTGGATGATCATTAAGGTTACAGATGGAGTGAACAAAGGGACAAGGACAGATTCAACAATTACTAATATCCAAGGGATGAAAGAAAGAGACAGAGAAGAAATGTCCAACTAAGCTAACAGAAAATGGGGAGATAATAAGGAGTCCTAGGTATACAGCACACTAGGGCACTGTGACCTAGTGTTACCCTAATCTAGCAATTAGACGTTGACTTTTATGCCAGTCTTAGTGACTATGTTCATGCCTTTTGCCTTTGGTACTCTGGAAACTGTCAGACACTTGTTCTGAAATGGATTACCTGTTACCTGAACTTCAGTCACTCATCTGCTTGCCCTACCCCTGCTCTGATATACACTCAGGATTTTTGCTTTTATTCAGACCTTGGTTTTCAGTGTTCCCTTTCTGCCTATCTGTTCCCCTTTGGACTGAATTCATTTTATACCTGGGCCTATATCTCTAAATGTCCAGTCCTGGAATTAATCCTCTGGTTACACTTTCAGGCTTACACATCTACACTTCTCTCCAACCCTAAGATTTGGCCTGGAACAATAAATAAGGCTTCGTTAGTGTGGCCTGGAACCCAAGCCCAGTTCTCATGTACTAAAAGCTAAGGCAAGGCTAAAGCGAAGGTCAGAAATCCAGATCTGAGGCATTCACAGATAAGACTTGAATTAGGCCTCTCCTGCATTACCCAGAAAACTTCTGAAAGGACTCCTGTTGGAACAGAAACCAGGACCAGGGCATGCATGGCCATCCCAGTATCTACAGCAAGAGGAACTAATGCCAAGGATATCCTGAGTACATTAATGTGTCTAAAATGTATCTAGAATAGGAAGATAGATCTAGAACTAAAGGCCAATCCCGAAAACATGAAAAATCATGATTCATTTTTTTAGGACAGGTTAATGACCATAAAACCTGACAAATAAAAAACTTTAAGAGGAAAGGAAAGCATACGTTTTTAATATAACTGTGACTTTTTAAAAAAAACAGTACACTTACCAACATGAATATTATCTTTAAATGCCACATCATGGAGCTGAAATATTAAATGGCGGCTAAATTTTTCATTGGTGCTAGAATCCAAGTTGAGAACATCTTCAGCTGAACAGCTAACCCTGTAAAACTGCTGAAGTGCTTTACAAACATGCTGAAAACACAAGTAAGACATCAATAATTAGTGTTTTTTGTTTCAAAATTTTTCCATGAGCAAAATTCAAATATCTTGGTACAAGTCTGTTTTTTATTTTGATATCAGATTATTACATAACAATTTTACTGAATTACTTATGTACTGAAATATACATATTTAAATTATTATACATGTTTATGTTAAAAATGCATAGGCTCTCAGGGTTAAAGGCCTCTCAGAATTCAATTTATCTTATACATTAATCTCTAAAATCAAAATAAAAATATTTCTTTTTAAGCACCTCTTTTTATAAATTTTATTTATGTATTTATTTGTTGTTTGGTTGCACCAGGTCATATTTGCGGCAGGTGGGCTCCTTAGCTGCGGCATGCATGTGGCATCTAGTTCCCTGACCAGGGATCGAATCCAGGCCCCCTGCATTGGGAGCAACACAGTCTTTATCCACTGTGCCACCAGGGAAGTCCTAAGCATCTCTTTAAATATTATCTATGAGTTAAAAAGTCACAATTCCATTGTTTCTAGTTTTAGTTTTCAGAAAGTTGCTCATGCACACTGAGCCCAAATCTACGTCCAAGAATGTGGCCTCCAGGGCTAGGTGATGCTACTAATGAAAGCAGTTACGCATCACAGGAAGGTAGCGAGCGCAGGGTTAGGAGCACACGATTAGGAGTCAGAAAGGTTTGAGTTCTGGCTTTGCCACTTACCAGCTCTGTCGCTTTAGTCAAGTCCAAACCTAACATTCCTCAACTGCAAATGGAATAATAATAGAACCTAACATTTCAGGTTGTTGTAGGGAGCAAAGAGAAAATGGGAGTAAAGAGTTGGCCCAATGCTGGCACACGTAACTGCTTAAAAGCATCAGCTGTGCAGCCACAGAACAAGTCACTTCTGAAGCCTCAGTCTTCTCTTTTGCAAAACGAAGGTACTTTTAAGAAACACCACACAGGTATGGTACTGGCACAAAAACAGAAATATAGATCAATGGAACAGGACAGAAAGCCCAGAGATAAACCCACACACATATGGTCACCTTATCTTTGATAAAGGAGGCAAGAATATACAGTGGAGAAAAGACAGCCTCTTCAGTAAGTGGTGCTGGGAAAACTGCACAGGTACATGTGAAAGAATGAAACTAGAACACTCCCTAACACCATACACAAAAATAAACTCAAAATGGATTCAAGACCTAAATGTAAGGCCAGCCACTATAAAACCCTTAGAGGAAAACATAGGCAGAACACTCTATGACATAAATCACAGCAAGATCCTTTTTGACCCACCTCCTAGAGAAATGGAGATAAAAACAAAAATAAACAAATGGGACCTAATGAAACTTCAAAGCTTTTGCACAGCAAAGGAAACCATAAACAAGACGAAAAAACAACCCTCAGAATGGGAGAAAATATTTGCAAATGAAGCAACTGACAAAGGATTAATCTCCAAAATTTAAAAGCAGCTCATGCAGCTCAATATCAAAAAAACAAACAACCCAATCCAAAAGCAGGCAGAAGACCTAAATAGACATTTCTCCAAAGAAGATATACAGATAGCCAACAAACACATGAAAGGATGCTCAACATCACTAATCATTAGAGAAATGCAAATCAAAACTACAACGAGATATCATCTCACACCAGTCAGAATGGCCGTCATCAAAAAATCTACAAACAATAAATGCTGGAGAGGGTGTGGAGAAAAGGGAACCCTCTTACACTGTTGGTGGGAATGTAAATTGATATAGCCACTATGGAGAACAGTATGGAGGTTCCTTAAAAAACTACAAATAGAACTACCATACGACCCAGCAATCCCACTACTGGGCATATACCCTGAGAAAACCATAATTCAAAAAGAGTCATGTACCAAAATGTTCATTGCAGCTCTATTTACAATAGCCAGGACATGGAAGCAACCTAAGTGTCCATCGACAGATGAATGGATAAAGAAGATGTGGCACATATATACAATGAAATATTACTCAGCCATAAAAACAAATGAAATTGAGTTATTTGTAGTGAGGTAGATGGACCTAGAGCCTGTCATACAGAGTGAAGTAAGTCAGAAAGAGAAAAACAAATACAGTATGCTAACACATGTATATGGAATATTAAAAAAAAAAAAGGTCATGAAGAACCTAGGGGCAAGATGGGAATAAAGATGCAGACCTACTAGAGAATGGACTTGCGGATACAGGGAGGGGGATAGGTAAGCTGGGACGAAGTGAGAGAGTGGCATGGACATATATACACTACCAAATGTAAAACAGATAACTAGTGGGAAGCAGCCGCATAGCACAGGGAGATCAGCTCGGTGCTTTGTGGCCACCTAGAGGGGTGGGATAGGGAGGGTGGGAGGGAGGGAGATGCAAGAGGGAAAACATATGGGGACATACATATATGTATAACTGATTCACTCTGTTATAAAGCAGAAACTAACACACCATTGTAAAGCAATTATACTCCAATAAAGATGCTTAAAAAAAAAAAAAAAAAAAGAAACACCACACCGGGTTATCTTGGAATTAGCAAAAATGTCTGTACACTGCCAAACACTTAGATACCAAATAGTTATGCAGTAAATTGTGTTTATTAATGTTATTTTGGTATTATAGCATACCACCTCCCATCATGCTCTCTGATCCTACTCTTCTTCAGTAAATTTTCTCAGAGAAGTCTTCCTCAATTTCCTTATCTACATCAAATTGCCCCATATATATTCTACCTCTATTTGTAGTACTTACACAGCTGCAATTTTTGTGATTATTTTGATAGGTTTCCTCTATATCATAGAGAATATCCCTCAGGATCTGTTCTCTCCTGCTTCTGTAAATAGAACCCTGATTATTAGCTAGATATGAGGTCGTCGAGAATAAAGACCATGTTCCCCAGACTCCCTTGCAGTAAGGTGTGGCCATGTGATTAAGTTCTGGCCAACAGGATGTGAGCAGAAGGAAAATATTCCACTTCTACATTATAATCTTAAAGAAAAGGGGCATGCTCACCCCTTCCCCACTTTCTACTGTCTAAAATGTAGACACAGCAATGCTGAGCCATCTTGGGCAATGTAAATAATGGCATCTTAGGAAGAGTAAAGCAATAGGCCTAGTCCCCTAATACAATGGAGTCACATCCAGGTGTTACATGAGAGAGAAATAACTTTCTATCTTGTTTATGCTCCTTTAATTTTAGGTCTTTATTATGGCAGCTAAATCTATCCTAACTTATTATCCTCCATTACATGATAAATTCTGTGAAGGCAGAAATCATGTCTTTTTGGGCTAGCCATTGTATTGTTAATGCCTAGGCACACTGACACTAAGAGGCTGAAAAAATTTTGATAAATGAATAAAGTCTAGTTATGTACTTTGGAGCTATACAGAATAAATGTAATAACTGTAGATAATAAAAGTAATCATAGTCCCATTAAGTTCTTTTTCCCAAGTTAAATTTTAAATAAAATTTTAAGTTACAGGGAATATAGCCAATATTTTATAATAACTATAAATGGAGTATAGTCTGTAAAAATTTTGAATCACTATTGTACACCTGAAACGAATATATTATCGTAAATCAATTATACCTCAACTTTAAAAGTTTTAAATTTATTTAAATATTTAAGTTGTAAAATCCAGAAGTTAAAAATATATGATTATTTGAGCAATGTTACCTGTCAACATAGTTTTATAAAATGCTTTAGCACCAGAAGTCATTCCATCTGGCAGAAGTGGCTTACTGGAATTGTCAGTTAAAAAGTGTCAGTATCAAAGGGCATTACATATTATCACTAGTTATTAGCCAGTTATTTATTAACCAACTGTTATGATAACAGCTAACCTATGCCTCCTCACACAGAGACGCTAAAGGAAAAGTACTTATTGTATTATACACTTGTTACATACACAGTAAGCAGTAAATGAAATTAATTTCAATATAGTCATTTGTAAAGGTTATATTAAGTAAAATAATCCTAATAACTTTTCTACCAACATGAGTGTGTTAAATTAAAATGCTGTGTAATTTTCAACTCAGATTTCTACAACTTTTTCCAACTTTTGTTGATGTTAAAGATGAGTTGTTCAAGACTAATTTGGATAAGATTGTATAAAGAATTAGGAGGAAAAAAATTTAAACACCTACATGATCTTTGCCATACCAGTGTTTATTCTTGTTACAAATGGAATTTGCACTAGTGTTGATTCCATTAGGGATAAGTTTCTAGTTTCTAATACAATGAAGTACTAATACTTCTTTTTTAACAGTATCACCATATTAAAGTGCCAGTGAAAATCTCTGAACCTTAATCCCTTGGTGGCCACACAGAGCCCACATAACAAATCCTACCTTAGACTGTAGAAGTGTATCATACACTAGAAAAGAGTCAATATCTATGGATTATTAAAAACGTAATTAAGGTTAAAAATTAAATACAACTTACCAACTATAATGAAATAAAACATTTAAATTTATTTTTAAGGGTCCAATGGCTATCTTAAGAAAAACATAACTTTTCTGTTGTTTTTTGGGAGGGCTGGGGGGAACTTATGTATATTTCTTTTGCTTCAAAGTCAGGAGAAAGCTGACATTATGATTTTTTTAAAAACCAGTATTTGCATACATTTTTCAAATAAATTTAAAATAAAATGTAGAGATCCGACAAAATCAGCAGATATTTTTAATCAAAAACATTCTAATTTGGATGTATTTTCAACATTATAAAATGAGTCATCTACAGCTAACATCTAAAACAAAAAATAGTTAATGTTAATACCTACTTTGAGTCCAAATAATAGTCAATATAATTTTAGTACACCTTAATACAATCTTAAAAGATTTTATAAATGAACCTAATAGAGCTTAGTTGCACAAGCCCATATTCCTTTTATTACTAAATAATAAAAGGAATATGGGTTGACACTGCTAAATCAAAAATATATACTAGAACTACACTTTTTCTCTTTGTGAAAAACAAAGAGAAATGATAATTGTAGTTCTAGACCAGGTTTTGCCAGTAACTAGTTGCTGGACCTGGAGCTGGAATTAAGTCTCTCTAGGCTTTAGCTTCCTCATTTATGATAATGTAAGACAGAAGAGTTTCCAAAATTTCTGCCAGCTCGAAATTTCTGATACTATTTTCATCAAAATTTTCTTGAAGTTTATCTTAGTACTCAATTTTTCAGTAAAAATTACTTCACCTAATCTTCACCAGAGTCAACTATTTGTAATGCAAAAGAATATATAATTAAGAAACAGAAAATTCCCAAACTGCCTCCTTTCTCAGTTTTTTGGGGTTTTTTTAATGTATTTATTTTTGGCTGCATTGGGTCTACGTTGCTGTGTGCGGGCTTTCTCTAGTTGTGGCGAGCAGGGCTACTCTTTGTTGCGGTGCACGGGCTTCTCATTGCAGTGGCTTCTCTTGTTGCGGAGCACGGGCTCTAGGCACACGGGCTTCAGTATTTGCAGCGCATGGGCTCTAGAGCGCAGGCTCAGTAGCTGTGGTGCACAGGCTTAGTTGCTCCACGGCATGTGGGATCTTCCTGGACCAGGGATTGAACCCGTGTCCCCTGCATTAGCAGGCGGATTCTTAACCACTTCGCCACCAGGAAGTCCTCTCAGTTTTTTTTGATACAGCAATATTACAAAATATATGGACATAAACTGAACCTTCCTCCTTTCCAGAAGTTTACTCAGAAAAGTGGCATTAAGAAACAAAGTCAAAAGGAAGAGTAACAAGACAAAGGAGGAGAAACACAGAACCTATATATTACATAGGTTGGATTCATTTAATGACTGAATGTGTGAATGAAAAGACATACAGGTAGATATAAGGAGAAAAACCTGAGTCTGTAATTTACCTCAACGAGTAATGCAACCATCTTTTTCCCATCAGCTCCTGGATTGGCAAGTCTGTTAAATTCCAAACCAAAATAAAGCTTGCACACAGCATTTTCAGGAATGACTTCATAGCAGTGTAAGAGATTTCTTCTGAATTGAATAATTCAAGATTGTTAGGTTTATATCTCATACCTTTTAAATCACAGAAGTTGCTCTTGTATCTCAAGATAGTATATTAACTGTGATGTAATGACAGATAACTATGACATAATGAAGACAAGATAAGGTGAACAACTGCTTACCACAGGTTTACAGAACACAGTATCAAGAGTTTCCATCAAACAAGACCTAACAATCATTTTCTGTAACATTATTTAACTGGAAAATATAGCCAACTTATACTGCTATTTATTCACAGATAATTTTGATATCAGGTAACACTTCTACATTTGTTTTTGGTATCACCATGAAGCAAATTTTGTTTAAGAACGTTCTCAAACTGTGATCCCACAATCACATATTCTTGGGATTCCATGAATTTTTTAATGAGAATTTTTAAGTTCCATATTTTCATTAGGAATATTTTAAAAACTGGTTACATACACTCTGAATCACCTGACTTCAATGAGCTTTCAGTGCTCACATGTGCAGTTTCATTCTCACTGGTATCAAGAGGTATGACTTTAAGATGGGTTATTAAGAAGAAATGCTGACTTGATTAGTAAATGATAAACTGCTTAGTGCCATCATATACAAATAAAAGGTTTACAGTAATTTGAACAAAGAAAAGTGATGGTGGGAATTGTGTCATCACGTGGTACAGGAATTCAAAACAACACAATTTCTCTCTCCTAGCACCTGGTGAGATAATTCAGTGTTGCTATCACAAGGAAACTCCAGAATTCAATTCTAATAGTAAAGTAGTAACTAACTGCGTGACTGAGAACTATGAAAGCCAAGGCAGCCTGATTTAATTTCACAAGCATTTCCAAATGAAGGAAATGTAATTTAATGTGTTGTGCTTTAAAAGCTACTTACCGGGATTTATAGTAAAACCAAAGTTGAGCATACGTTGTTACGAGGTAAATACGTTGTCCATCGCCCACTTTGTATTCCAAAGCAAATACATGAACGTCCTTTACAAAACCAAAAATAATATTCAAAAAATTAGTAAAATGCAAATTTAAAATCAACTGTAGCTATTAAATGTTCATAAAGATTTTATCATTCAAATTTTCAAAAACTAGAACATTTGTATTATTGAAAACAAGAAAATTAATCACTAAATCTATGCCAATCAAAATCTAGTTATTTGTATTTATTTATATTTAGTCACTCAGGTAATAAATGTTCAAGGCAGAAACAATGAGAACATCCAGACTAAAACAAAAAAAAGAAAAATCATTTTTCAGTCACTCGTTTTACTTCCTATTATAGTTTTATCTGCCAGTTTATGAAAAAGAACTTATTTTTTTAAAACTACCTGAACATTATTGTAAATAATTTGGACTAAAGTTAATAAATTTCCTAGAGTATATAAAAATACATGAGAACCATTTTTAAAAATATATTTGTATGTAAATCTTAAAAGCTTAAGGAAAGTTTTAAAATGCAGAACAAGTAACTATAAATTATTGTTTCTCATAGAAAAGGAATACACAAGTTCTTTTGTTTCCACTTAGCTAAAGGTAACTGTCGAGCCTATAAAGGAACTAAACTTCCATTTTCATGAGAGAAATCATAAAAAGACTAAGTTATCCAATCCTATTAAAAATCTTCTCGAGATAAATTTTATAAACTGATGATTGGTAAATCCAGCAATCATACAGCTATATTTTTTTTAAAGTCAAGATTAAGCGAATCTGTATTTTAATTTCTGATACCTGAATTAGGGTTACACAAAATGCACACAAAAGGCTTTTCTTCTATTTCCTAAACTATTCTGATGAGATATGAGTGAGCTTCTGTTTACCAGGGAAAGAAGGTCCTCCTCCTTAAAAACTTATATCATTTTGAGTTTTTATATATAATCAATTTTCAGAATCACAATATATTTATGCTGGATTTATGTTGGATAGATGCATCTTTTCGTTATATTTCTTTATATTCCCCACAGTGCCCAACAAAAAAAGATGTGCAATACACATGCTTGTTTATTTTTGAGAACCATTCCCTTTGTGAGGCTAGCATGTAGCAAGCACTTCTTCCTCCCACTTCCCTAATGTGTTGGAAATTATGATAAATCCACTCTACTACTCCAAAGCACAAAAGGGACAGTAGAAAGATAAAAATATGTGTGCTTTGGTACTATGATTTAAGTTTTAGGGCTTATTAACTCAAATGACATTTGAGACATTTTCATTTGCGATTGTTTAAATTCAAATTTCCAATCCCTAATTTCATCCTTAAAATCTCACACTCCGGGCTTCCCGGGTGGCGCAGTGGTTAGGAATCTGCCTGCCAATGCAGGGGACACTGGTTCAAGCCCTGGTCCGGGAAGATCCCACATGCCGCGGAGCAACTAAGCCCGTGCACCACAACTACTGAGCCTGTACTCTAGAGCCCGAAAGCCACAACTACTGAAGCCCGCACGCCTAGAGCCTGTGCTCCACAATGAAGAGGAGCCCCCGCTCACCACAACTAGAGAAAGCCCACGCGCAGCAACAAAGACCCAACGCAGACCAAAAAAAAAAAAAATCTCACACTCTACTTACTCATTTCCTGATATTTCTGTGGGTATTATTTTAGTTTAACTCTTACACTCATTCTATTATTTTTCAGTCCATGAATACAGTCGCTTCTCCTCTAAGCAGAGCATCATTTCTATGTCATTACAAATTTTTTAAACTATTTGGCACTAGATATGTCATTTTTTTCATTATTAATATAAAGTAAATGGTTAATGATTCATGGATATCTTTCCTAAATAGTACAAAAAGATCGCAATTAAATTCTTCTGGTAAAATACGTGGACTGAAATGAAGACAAACAACAGATTTTTTTTGGAAATCTTAAGGTATAGTAGCCCTAAAAAAAAAGATGAGAAAAATTACCTCTTTACAGCTTTTAACAAAATTAAAAGCTTGAGTTTGCCGATGAAATAGTTTCCAAATGGATGGTGGTTCTTCTGGCTTAGACAATCTTGGTCTGTATACCAAGGACAATGGTTCCCTCTCATAATGGGATGCTCGTTCTTCAATTTGCTTCAGCCTTGCTTCCCATTTTCTCTTCATTGGTTCAGAAGTATGGGGAGACTAAATCCTATCCCAGGTAGGATCTCTGTGAATGACTACTAAAACAAACAAACATGGATGCCAGTTTCTTTGTTTAAAATATATTTTGTTTGGTAAAACTTCAAAGCTCATTTCTGCTTATTTCTTTGCTTTATAGTTTATGTTTTGCATGAAGTTTTGTGGTGAAACAAGGACAGGGCTGGTTATGAGAAATCTTTAGATCCTGGCTCTTCCATCTAATCATGCTACAGTTTTGAACAGGTTAATGAAGCTCCCTAAATTGTAATCAGCTGCAAAGTGGGACTCAACATTTTTATGTAGTCATCCTGAGGATACATGTCATAAGACATGAAAATGTTCTGCAAATTCCAATGCCTCATGTAAATATAAGAGTTTTTTGCATCACTATGGTTTTTATTATAATCATTTTGTTGCATCAAGTGCCATGTACCTCACCCAGGTGGTGGGCATCATTCCAGTGCTATTATTTCCTAGTGTAGAATTCATTTCTAGGCACCACTGTCTAGTTCTTAGCTCCCTTTTCCTCTTTTTCCTGCCCATTGCTCTTCTTTTCTACTCAAACAACTATTAGTTGGGAGGATAACCAGTGTATGAGTGGGAATTACAATATTGGCTAGTTTTGGTTTGGCATGTATGGTAATCATAAGCATGACTTAAAAAAAAAGAATAAATGTTAATCTGTTAACTTAATGACTACTTTTGTCATTAGTCAATTGAAATGTTTACATTTTAACCCTTGTTTCCTAATGATACATGTTTTTGTTTGCAAACAATGCTTCCATGTTAGCCATGCCAAAGTAAGGGGACCAGGCAATACCTTTCCAATTTGGGATTACGGTTTACTTACAAAGGAAAAAGGATAGGTTTTTAGAAGAGGGGGGAAAAGCTTCCAGTATAGAGAAAAAATGGGGACAAATTCTCTGGCATTCCTGCCATCAAGAGATGCCATCTAAGCCCACTCCCATAAGACTCTTGGCCATGTGACTTGCCAATGTCACATCGACAAATGTGAAGCAAGCAGAGGTTTAATAAGTGCTTTTGCATTAGATTTGGCTATCATGGAGTCCTGCTCTGAGATCATCATGCTATAACTCTAGCCTCACAGAGGATAAAAGGTCATCTGGAGAAGAACCAAGGTACCCCAGCTGATAGCAAGCACCAATTACCAGATACGTGAGTTAAGCCACTTTGGATCATCCAGCCATCATCTGAATTCAATGCCTGAGTAAGCCTGAGTGAGTTCAGGTGAGAGATCCAGCAAACTGCCCAGGCAACCCACAGAACTCTAAGAAAAAATTAATTTGTTGTTTTTAAAGCCAGCAAGTTTTGGCCTGGGTTTTACACAGAAATAGAAATAACTAATAGTTTCCTTCTTCACTAAAATCATCTATGTTGTAATTTATGTATGTAGAAAACAGATATATTAGGTTTTAAGTGACATAATATCATACACTAAAGCATTTGAAGGTAAAATCCCTATTTACCTTTGTCAATGCCTATCTAGTACTTGCATTGATAAATATGCTCTTGAATTTTAGCAGAAAACTTTGCAACATAAACTCACTGGCAAATGAAATATTCCCTGGAAAGAAAAATAGAATCACCCAAAAAGATTAAGAGAGGGTAGGAATATCCTAATGCATTGTTAGAAAAAAAGGCATATTATCCACAGATTTCAAATCTGACTTCAACCATAACAGACTTAAGATTATACTCTCAGAATTACACTTAATCCACATGGATATTATAAATTATAAGCCAAGAAACAGAAATAAAATTCTAAAGCTATCAACATAAATTTCATAACAGATTTGCCTAGGAAAGGAATACAATTTCTTTGGATTGAAGAGATGGGGCAATTTTTAATACAACTGTGTTGGTTTTTCAATATATGTGACAGGGCTCCTTATTGCTAAATAGATTCTGAGTATTAGTTTATTTAATCTGCTTCACACACAGATAAAAATCCCCTCCATTTAGACAACCTAACTGAGAAACTTTCTTCTAAGAAACTGACTTTTAATAAAGCCCACCAATTACTTAACGAAGAAAATAAACACATAATGCGATCAGAGGTGAATTATGACTCTAGTATCTAGCAAATAACTGACTAGAAGTAACCATGTGGATGTTCACACTTAGTTACAATGACATCGGGAAAATTTTTTCTGGTTTTGTAAAAATATTGGTATGACCATGGGAGTATATCATATATGAAAGTCAGAGTCACAATGGAAAACCAGTTTAACACTTAACTGGACTGAGGAAACCACGCATGTCAACAGACAAAAAGAGAGAAGCTCAAAATATGTTATGCCCCCTTGTTATTTACACAGTTTTAAAATTTTAACAGCTGGGCTGAAAGACAACTGGGGCTTAGACTCTTCAAGCAGCGGGGTTGAATAATAAAAGCAAAGGAAATGGAGAACAGGAAGGCATCTGGCATTCTCGTTTTGGACTATCATATTCCTCATGCCTACCCCCCGGGAGAACATATCACCATTTCAGAAATGCTGGTGGGGAAACAGTGCTGTCTTTTTTTATATACATATAATTACACATGAAAACCCCTTTTCACACAGGGACCATAACTACTTTTGTAACAGTTTCCAAGACCTAAAGAAAAATATTTGTTGTATTTTAAAATAGCAGGCTTAAGAGCTCTATTATTTATTTCTTAGCATCGCACGGGAATGATTGTTTAACCATTTTTGATACCAGTTTCAAAACTAAAGGTGGTCAGGCTAGAAAAAAGGTTGGCTTAGTCTTTTCAGAGTAACTATAGTGGGAGAAAGGACAGTGAGAGTGAGGGTGAAGAGATGACTCAGCCGACCTAAGCAGTCCTGGTTTCCAGAGGTTTATGCCTACACTTGTTCATCGGTGACACTTGACGGCCTGGTCCCCAGGAGCAGCTGGACCATGCGGCCCATGGTTCACGAGTACTGGTTTCTAGGGACAGATGAAGCCTGCCTCGCATGGCTCTCTCTAGCCCAGTTCTCCTAGTTTCTTTTCTTGTCTAATCACAAGTCAATTCCTATTCCCCAACTCGAACTTCTCCCTCTGCCCTGAGAATAGATGCAACAGTATCTTGTGTTTTCTGCATATATGTTCCAGTTCTAATATTTAGTAATGTTCTGGTATTTGGCAATGTTTTCTTAATATAATTCCCTTTATGGCCTCTTGTAATACATTTATACTATTTCTCCCACTGCTAAAGTATTCATAATAAAGTATGTGATTAAACTTCATTTACAGTAATAATAGTTTACTTCCCAGATGAATAACACCTTACAAAATTATTAAATATACTAATTGACTTTTTCTTTTCTTCTTTTCCTACTTCAGTCACCTTGCCTGTCTATGCTTGAACAGAGTAACTCATATTTAAATTTCCCAAAAGTCTCCTATAAGGAAGAAAATATCCAGTGGAACACTGTTTTTTCCAGTTCTACCTTTCTACCATCCCCACAGGATCTCCCATCCAAAGAGCCTAATTCTGCCAGACTAATCACCCTTAAGACCATTTTCAACAGCCAAGACATGGAAGCAACCTAAATGTCCATCGACAGAGGAACGGATGAAGACATGTGGTACACATATACAATGGAATATTACTCAGCCGTAAAAAAAGAACAAAATGCCATTTGCAGCAACATGGATGGACCTAGAGATTATCATACTACGTGAAGTCAGACAGAGAAAGACATATCATATAATTCATATGTGGAATCTAATTTTTTTTAAAAATGATACAAATGAACTTATTTACAAAACAAAAATAGACTTCCAGATATTGAAAACAAACTGATGGTTACCAAAGAGGAAACGGGGGGCGGGGGGGCTTGTAAATCAGGAGCTTGGGATGAACACACACACACTACTATCTACGAGACGGATAACCAACAAGGGCCTACTGTACAGCACAGGGACCTCTACTCAATGCTCTGTGATAACCTATACGAGAATCTGAAAGAGAATGAATATATGCGTAACTGAATCACTCTGCTCTACACCTGAAACGGACTCATTAGCATTGTAAATCAACTATACGCCAATAAATTTTTTAAAAGACCATTTTCATAGCTTTTCCTAGCGACACTCATTAATGATTCAGAGCATCACTTAATGAACGCTAAAGTTTACCTCAAGAAGTCCAAACTCTCCAGAATCTGGCCCTCAACCACTTACCCATTCGACTTCTTCTTGTTCAGCCTTCTCACCAAATGAATGATGATGACCACTGCCTGCACCTGGCCCACTCCAGGAGCCCTCCTGCATGTTTCCCTCCCCTGGAATGCCCCACTCACCCTTCCTGAAGTCTTCCTCTCCCAGGCCCAGATCAGGTTCTGCCACCTGAGACACCTCTGTAGAAAGAAACTTCCGACATTGCTTCTAGCCAGCTATTTTACTATAATTAAAGTTTCTCCAAACTAATAAGTGTCATTTACACAAAAAAACAGAAAACCGCTGCTGCTGCCGCTGCTTTAACTAGAGCATAATTTTGGTAAGAAAGTTTAGCACAGGAAGGGGTTTGTGCATCACTACGGGGTAACAGGACTGGTTAAAAAAAACTAGTACACTAGTGCCTGCCTTACAAATAACCGCATGCCAACCACCGTGCAGGTTGGGAGTGGGTCCTATTCTTCAGTTTTACTGCAGCAGAAAAAGGACTGCCAAACACTGGTCCTCTCTCAACTTGGCAGGGATAAAGGCCTAGGTTTTATTCCTAGGATCTGAGTTTAACTAGTGTAGCCCTTAACAAGAGCAAACTACTTAGCCTTTTTAATTAAGCCCAGGTGGAAACTGGAATTCCTACCTGCAGGGGCTGCTGAAAGAAAAAGAAAATGCATTGCCACTATGTGAGAACACAGATAAGCACTCAAGGAACGGTCGCCATACTCAGAACGATGTATATCTGTGAACAAAACGGCACCCTCATTTATATCCAAGTAAACAAAAGTGCTGGAAGTGGGCGAGTTCTTCACCTGGGGCCCCTGACTTGTCAGAATGTCCTGAACCTCTTGAAATTTGATGGAGAATTTCGTGCTCAATTGGGTTGGTACATTCTTCTGCGAAAATGCCTCAGAGTCTGAAAAGAGTTCGTGACCCAAGACAGGCGGAGGCCCAGCTGGGCGGTTAAAGCTTTTGGTTTCGGGACAGGGAATTCGGGGTGACCTAAGGGAAGGCCTCCGGTCGCCCGAGGGGAAGCGGGGACTACCGGCAGGCCGCGACCCGCTCTCCGTCCTCCCGCAGGGCCTGCCCGTGACTCCCTTCTCCCTGCCCCCGGGGTCCGGCGAGGCCTTCGGGTTTCCCTCCATTTACCTCCAGAGACGCTCGCCGTGGGCGGGAAGCCGTGGGTCCTCTGCGGCTGGCAGGACACGCAACCCGCCCACTGTGGCGGGACCGAGTCTTCAAACCTGGCGCGGAGGCGGGGCCGGGGCGGGAAGTGGGGAGAGCGCGGGCCAGTGAGACGACAGCGTTCTGGGGTAGGACGGGGAACTGAAAGGGAGCGGAGGCCGGGAAGGGCCTAGAATGGCCCGGAAGCGTGCCTGGAAGCCAGGAGCTCCCGGGACCCGTGAGTGGGCGGTGCTCTCGGGCTGAGCGGCGTTCTCAGGCGCGGCGGGACCCGTGAAGGGGCGGTGTTCTCGGGCGGAGCGGTGTGCTCGGGAGGGGCGGGGCCTGTGAGGGGGCGGTGTTCTCGGGCAGAGGGAGCCGGGGCCTGACTGACGTGTCGGCGCGGCGCTGAGCTTGCAGAGCTGATGGGAGGGGCCGGGGTGGGGCCAGAGGGGGCGGGGCCTGCTCGGGCGCCTACCTCTGAGCGCGGCTGCGGCGGAAGCAGAGCAGGAACCGATCCCAGCAGAGCGAGTCGGTGGCAACGGCGTGGGGGCTGAGAGGTGAGATATGCCCTCGACGCTTCTCGCTTTGGCGCCATAGGTCCTGGGCTGGTTCCCTCCACTCTCCCAAGCTCAGCGCCTGCCCCGGGGGCCTGCACCGGCCTGCAGCTGCCCCGGGGAGAAGGAGGGGACTGACCTGGTCCGGGCGGCGGATCCTTTGTTTTGGCGCGACAACGGGGGCAGGGACGAGCCCTGAAGCCCGCAGATCGAGAGACCCGGCCCAGGGACGGGAGGCCGGGCCGCGGAGCAGAGATCCGGCTGGAGACGCCGAGCCTGGGGGACGGGAGGCCGGACCGAGGATCGAGAGGCTGGGCCGGGGGTGGTGGGAGACCCGCGTGGGATATGGAGGGCGGACAGCGGGAGGCTGGGGAGCGGAGACCCAGCCGGAGACGCCGAGCCCGGGGGACAGGTGGCCGGGCCGAGAATGGGGGGTGTCGGGAGACCCGGGTCGGGTCGCTGAAGCCTGGTAGCAGGAGGCTTGACACGGGTCGCTGAGCCGGGGGAGGAGAGGGGCGGGAGGCCCAGGCGGAGGCGCTGAGGCCGGGGGGGTAGGAGGTCGGAGCCGGGAGCGGGAGGCAGCGGGGATCGAAGGCTGAAATTTTAATCGGGAAGGTGGTGAGGAGGCTGGGCGCGGAGAAAAGATGACCTGAGGGCAGGAGGCGGGCTGGTGCTGTCCTAAGGGCTCTGGCCCTCAGGGCTTATCCTCCCATTGCTGGTGAGGATTTGGTCTCTGCTGCCTTCTTTGTCTAGATATTATCAGGTTGACGGGTGACTCCGCTTTCCAAAGAGGTAGTTTCAAGTATTAAACTCCTATTCACTTTCAGACCTGAAGGCCTCCATGCATCCTTCTAGCTCCTGCGGGTGACTATGTATCCATGGCCCAAATCCCTTAGGCTTTAAAATCCCCTCAGCCCATGTTGAATAAGAGTGCCTTAGTCACTCTTGTTTTCAGTGAGTGTGCTCTCAAGCCTTACTTCCCAAGGCAGCTGTCTCTTTCCCAGTTCTCAATAAGTGGCTCCCAAGCCAAGAAACTGGGAACCAACCTTATCAGCTTCCTCTCCCGGCTCCTCCAGTTAGCCGCCAAGCCTCCTGGCCCTCCTAAATATCCACTGGATCTGGCCCCCTTCTCTCCATCTCAGATTTAAGACACCCTAAGCTCTCACCTGGCTACAGGAGGCCCCTCTGGCCCCTTTCCAGTCCATTCTTTATAGCACAGGCTGAGGGATCTTTACAGAATAAAAATCCAGAAAGCTGTTCCTTTGGTCATAGGATAACCCAGTCCCTTAACATGGTTAACAAAGCCAAGCATAGGTTGGCTCCTTGGTCCCCTTCCCCTGCCTAATCTTTCATTATGGCACCGTTTCACTTTCTGCAGAGCCATGCTGAGCTTAACACTAACTGTTCTCTGCCTGGAACACTCTTGCGTTCGTCTCTCTTCCCATCACCGCACACTTGCTTGAGGAACTCCTATTTATGTTTCTGTTCTCATTAAACATTTCAAGGTTAAGTCTAGCTATTATGTGTTCCTTTGGCATCCGTCTCATCCTAAGAGGAAAGTGTCATATCCTTTGCAGTTGCTTATTTTTACACTCTCCCCTATTAGCTCCTAAGCAGATTCCACAAGGAACTGTGTTTTTCTCGTTATCTTGTTCCGTATTGTCTTTCCCCATATTTGGGGCCTGGCACAAATGAATGCCAATACTACAGTATTATGCTTTTTAATAATTACGCCCTATGTAGAAAAAAAAATCCTATTTTAAGGTGGCTTAGCAAATTATAATTAAATGATGCGGACTAGAAAGGAATGGTAGAGTTGAAATGCAGAGTTGCTGCAACAATGTGTTTATGCAGGATCGTATTAGGAGGTGCTAAGCAAGCTGCATAGACCAGCCTGTGGCAAAATGCGCTCAGCCACTTTGAATGTATTGTAGTTACGTGATGTCTAAGAATGAAATACAAAGCTTAAATCATCCCTATCCCAACCTGATGGTTTTACTTTGCTCTTTTGCAATGAAGGCTTTTGAAAGTTAGAATGTGTTTTAATGAATGAAGGAATGAACAGTTTATTGGAGTGTAGCAATAAAACCTGTTCCCAGTAAGAAAGAAGTGAAACATTGTATCCAATTACATCAGATTTGATTTGCTATCCTGAAAAAGAAGTCTTACCTCCTGCGATTTTTTTATTATTATTATTTCTTTTATTTTTATTTTTTATTTATTTATTTTTTTTGCGGTACGCGGGCCTCTCACTGTTGTGGCCTCTCCCGTTGCGGAGCACAGGCTCCGGACGCGCAGGCTAAGCGGCCATGGCTCACGGGCCCAGCCGCTCCGCGGCATGTGGGATCTTCCCGGACCGGGGCACGAACCCGTGTCCCCTGCATCGGCAGGCGGACTCCCAACCACTGTGCCACCGAGGAAGCCCCCTCCTGCGATTTTAAGAGACTGACATCTGATAGAGGCAATTACAATGCCTTTTTTCTGTTTTGCTTTCAAATCCAATTTAACACAATCTCCTATTGGTTCATCCCCTTTCTGATGCTGGAAAGCAGTCTTTAGTTTCATGAATGGCATTAGGTCAGTTCTGGTGCCCAGTATCAGATAGTTCTTTAGGCTCTGCCTCAAAGATGGGAAGCACTGGTGTTGGATCTAAAAAAAGATGTGGAATTCTTAGACTGTTAGATACTGGTGTACACATTTAACAAATACAAATGTAATGGAGGGGGATA